TACATATTAATTAGGCTAATCTGTGGTAAAGGTGGTAAGCTCAACAAAATACACATGAATTTTGTAAAGAGAATAGGATAATCTCCCCATGCAGTATCTTATTCGTTTTTTAAAAAGAGTAATTCCGTCCCCAGACTTCCTACCTTTAATGATGTCTTATGTGTAACACATACATAGTAGGTCCTCACTGGCAAACCTGGAGAGAATAAACAAATTGGCAGCACAGATTGCTGAACCGAATTTAAATACATTTTTGGTTATGTGGTCAAGGCTCTTGAAATCACACACTTAAAGAGATTTTTGCTTCTTCCCTCCCTAATTCCATCTGCTTCCTGGCATCACATAAATAACCTGCAGTGGAGTATTGGCTCTGCCATTGGGACTGCTCCAGCTAAGAGAAGATTATCTGAATAATATCATAAATTCCCTTTCAGCATTTAAAATAAAACTGGGGTGGAAAGTACAAATTGTGCTGTTCTCTTGAAGAGAGAATAAATACCTTTTTAAGATCTTATAATCTTAATTATAAATAAAAACTCAAGTGACCTTGGCTCACTGTCAATAAAAATCTAGCTCTTAAAAAAGAGATCTTCCCTGTACCATGAATTCCAAATCCATATGGACTTTTTTTTTTTTTTTGAGAGAGAGAGTCTTACTTTGTTACTCTTGGTAGAGTGCTGTGGCATCTTAGCTCACAGCAACCTCAAACTCTTGGGTTCAAGTGATCCTCTTGCCTCAGCCTCCCAAGTAGCTGGGACTACATGTGTGCACCACCATGCCAGCCTACTTTTTCTACTTTTAGTAGAGATGGGATCTCACTTGGCTCAGGCTAGTCTGGAACTCCTGAGCTCAAGCAATCCACCTGCCTTGGCCTCCCAGAGTGCTAGGATTACAAGCATAAACCACTGCACTCACCCTCATTTGGGCTTTTAATTTTAACCCTTGAAGGAAATTGAACTCAAATAGTAGGACCGCTTGTTCTTCAGGAAGCCTGGGGATTATTATAAAAAAAGGAACCTGAAAATTTATGGTAGCTACGAATCTGTGCAAGAGAGAAGCTGATGGGAGGGGCAATGCTGCAGTAAGAATCATTTATGTTGATATCTAACTTTTGGTCTCATATCTTAGAAACCCTTTAGAATATTAACAATTTACTTCATAAGATTCTCACATATAAGAACAAGTCATCATTTATTGAAATTTATTTAGAAAATTTAAGAGAACGGGAGCTGTGAATTCCAGGATATTCTTTGCACATGAGGCTGTGGATTGGTTCATCAAAGCATTGATTGGACTCTCTGGTATTCAGAAAAGCATAGGCCTAGAAGAGACTCCCTACTGTGATCCTTGCCTCTAAGTATTTTATTATATGCTTGAGGGAGGAGAAGCTGGCATTGGTCCAAGGCCAGACAATAGCAACAGACCAGATGTAGGCTTCCTCTATTTACTGGCAATGGGCCACTTGAAAAGAGGCCCCGGCCGGGTAAGAAGACTTCCCATTGTGTGTTGGCTCAAGTGGACATACTGGCGTTAATATTAAAAAGGAAAAACAGAGCTAAGATTTGTGTGTATGCCATTAAAGGAAAAAGAAAGAAACCATTTGTTTTTGCAAGCCGCATGAGAAAATAATCAGAAATTCACAAAAAAGTTTTATCTTATTGCATATTTACCTGGACAGATATATCAAAATGAAATATTAAAAGTCATGAATGTTTCTTTCAAAATCATTGTTATTGTGTATTAAAATTCACTGTGAAGCTGTGAGACTTTTTATAAATCAGGTGTTAGAAGGCACTTGTTTTTCCGTGGGCCATTTGTGGAGTATCAGAAGGACATTTCCTGTTTCCAGATTTCTTGCTCACTTGTCTCTTTGATGCCTGAGATTTTTGCCTTTGATTTTCTGCCTTATGGATATGACCATGGCGGGCAGCTGGAGGGACGTCTGATGCACCGTGGTTTATCAGCTTCAATTACTTATTAGTGCTTCACCAGAGAGAGAGGCGATGGCACATGGAGTGGGGAGGTTTTGATGAAAGCAACATCGAAGATCAGCACAGAAGAGAGCTTGGTGTGTGTCATGGGCAGGATAAAGCAGAAGTAAGGCTTTTTTTTTTTTTTTTTTTTTTTTAAATGAGAAGCACTCACACAAAGGATAGTAGAAGCTGCTGATAATAATACTATCTGGCCCACTATTTTTTCTAGAATGTGCTCTGATGGCTTTAATGTGTCTTTTCTTTTTAAAATAATAACACATTTATAACATTTGCATAGGGTTCTACATGTTAAGAGAATCAGAGCTGTGAATTCCAGGATATTCTTTGCACAGAGAGTGTGTGTGGTTCTGTAGGCACAGCCATGCCCTGGTCTCATCGGAGCTACTCTGCAGGTTAACCAGGATGGGGACCAGTAGCTCCAGACACAAACTCACAGAACTAGTGAGTGGGGAAGCTGAGACGGAAACTCCCAAATTCTGATTCTGAAAGGTGCTCTTTCCTCAGTAGTGCATAAAGAAGGGGGAGAGATTTTATGTTTTGGAGTCAAATAGCTCAAGATTGAACTCACCACTTTTCTTGCCAGCTGTGTGACATTGGTCATGCTACTAACTGCTCTGAATCTCAGTTTCTTCATCTCTGAAAAAAGAGGGATAATCCTACCATGCAGAATCGCTGTGGAAATTCCATTAGGTGAAATAGGCATGGCACCCGTTTAATGCCTGGCATAGGGTAGGTGCTCAACACATGGAGGGATAACCACTGTTCCTGGTTCATAGAGTTTTCCTGCACTTAAAGGTGAAATGATGAATCAGGGAAAGTTTTTAGTTTATTAAATGACACCAGCATCCTTGGTTCCTTTAATTCCTGCGACTATCTCCTGTATGTGTGTGTGTGCATCTGTTAATGTATCCGTGTATGTGCACACCTGTGTGTATGTGTCGGGGGGTACCCCTACCTGCATGTATGCATGTAGCCACATGCACTTATTAGGGCACAGCAGCAGCAATTCTCTATGTCCCTAGGCTTTGTGGAACCAGACTCGGCAATCATATGGGGAACATATATCTACTGCAGATAATGGAAACTGGATCATCAGGAGAAAGCTAATTCAACCCGCTGGGTTCTACCTCTTTGACATAGCTGAGTTCTAAAATTTATTCCCCCAAATAGCAGGAAGATAGCTGGAATTCCTATCCTGATGACCTGGAAATTTGGGGGGCAATTGCGTTTAGTAGACACAGCCATGGACCCATATAAAATTGCATTCAATTTTCAGTTTATTTTATTTACAGTTACTTATTCTTCCTTAAAATATTTTATTATCACCTTGAATAAATACATAAAATAATCTTCAATGTATTTGTTACATACGGCAAAAAATAATTTGATGCTTTATAAATAGGTTTCACTGAGACACAAATGGGAGAAGCACCCTTTGCTAAAATCTGTATAGTAACAGTTCAACAGAGCTATGGTAGCACTTTAAAAAATGACCATGAGATGGCGCCTTAGCCAAGTAAATGAAGTATGCTTTAAGCCGTTTTCTCTAATTACAATATTTAATTTCTTTAAGTATGGAAGAATCTATCATTCAACTTAGAGTAAGGTTTGTTACTCTATTTTAATAGTATTGACTAGGAGTGAATCCCTTAATCACAGATCCATAAATCGTGTGGGGACTGTGTTTCACTGGAGTAAGGAGTTTATTTAAAGCTGTCATTGTCTGAAAATCCCCAGACTAAACAAAGGACCCCAAAGTACCATATAATTTATGATCCATAATCTGTATATATGGACTGCTGTTTTCACCACCCTTGTAGAATTATGTTAAAGTCTTTCCACAAAGTCAAATCAACTTCCAGTTTATTTAAAGAGCTGATGTTTTTGTTACACTTTAATCTGCTTTGACAGCAATGGGAGGTCAAGAATATCAGAACATGAATTCACATTTAAATCAACATGATACAAACATGCACACATGTGTATATACCGACTGTTTTCATTGACTTGATCTTCCTCCATATAAATATATAAATATTGAATAAAGTGCATGGGAACATGTCTGTACATATATACAGATACATGTTTGTCTGTACAGTATACACTTGAGTAGGTACTTATGGAAGAAAAAAACACATACACGTTTGTACTATATATGTAGTCAAAAGACATCTGTCAGGCTGTATTAACGTCTGTTCTGATCACGATTGAATATATGGGGATGGAATCTGTCATCTTTTCTCTAATATGCGATGAAGTGTGTGGAGTTATTAACTAAGGCAAAATACAGTAGAGCAGAGGCTTTAACATTTGTATTTTCATCAGTTAGTGTGGTATAATCCTTAAAGAGTAGTTCAGTTCAAATGCAGCCTTGGTACTTGTGGCACATTATAAATTCTAGCTTCGAAATGGTAAACCGTCTTTCAGTTTATCTGTAAGGACATAATTAGACTTTTATGCATTTCCCAACGCATTTCCAAATTACACAATGGCACTTCTCACATTCTTTAGTTTTCCAATCTGTAGTTTCTTCCAAAAACGCAAGGTAAAACTATTTCTCATTTAATAGAAATGCTTCAGCATTGTAATCATGTGTTTAACATCTATTTCAATGACAATGTGCAATTTAACCTTGAGTATTACAATATCAAGGTGGATTAACTACCACTAATCTCTTTAGCAGCTGTGTCTATAAAATATTATCTACATTTTTTAAATTAGGGAGTCCAGTGTTAGGGAGTAGTACTAAAATAAATGAGTTTTTAGAGAAGTGGAGCAAAACATTTGTTCAGAACTTTGGTAGTTATCCATTGGGTCCAGACTGGGGTGCACGTGTCTAAATTCATTGCAATGTTTGACCTCAACTGATTTCCCCCCTTTTGTTTGGTTGGCATTCATTGCTAACTGACCAGGAAGACTTAGTGAGGGCACTGCCCTCCGAGTTGAAACAAACTCGTTTCTGAACCAGTAAAAAGGAAATAAATGGAACAGAGTCTCAAAATAAGTCTATTTCTATTTTTCAACAAGGACCTTTTCTATTGGGTCATTTTCTTCAGGGATATATGTCCCTCATATCAGGAAAATTGCTTCACATTTAAGGGTACACTCCCTAGATGATTGTGGGATCAAACTGAACAGTTTTAATAAATAACATGGGTGGATTAATCTGAAAGCATCAATTTACATGATGGGTATCAACAGGAAAGCCACATTCTTTTTCCAGAGATGTCCTGTGACTCCATTACCGTCCATAGCCAGAAACCAGAGTGCGCCCTCAATCCCGACACAGCTATGTCAACATACAGCTCAAAGGAGCGCATGCGCAATGCAGTCACTTCATGGCGAGTTACCAAATACCTCTACGCTGCTCTTTTAGAGGAGCGATTTCTAGAAATGTATTTGGTATTGTGAAATTGTCCTTTTGCTAGTTTACTTAGAAGAACAAATATTAAACAAGACCACATCAGAGATTCAGAGTAAAGCACAAGAAGTAGAAGAGAAAGCAGCAAAAGTTATTCAGTAACATTTAAAATAGTCTTCACTTCTGAGAAGTAACTTGAAAAGCAGCAAAGATCAGCCACCTGGTGAATATTTCAAAATGACATCGATGGAAAAGCAGCAATGGAAAATAGTGTCAAGTATTTCATTTAATTATCTTAGCAAGACAGATTTCATAGCACTGTCCTTAATGTCTTTTTTTTTTCTTTCAAAATAGATCTCGTGGTAGGTTTTAAAGAGGATTCTTTATTTTAGAGCCCATTATAGTCAACCGATTTTTCAGTATTTATAGCCATTTTTATTTACAGCAATAGGTGACCAACTCCATCCTATGCCATCAGTTAGCAACACAGTAGCAAGCTTTCCATTTGAAAATAGAAATTAAATTTAGATTTATCTAGGGCCTCATTATTAGACAATAAAAGCTAATCATTTTAAAGACATATCATTTACAATGTTAAAAATAGGTATCATAAAGCTGACAGCTGAAATGCTGTCAGAACGTTCTCCAAGCGCACATTTTGCGGCATGTAACTCTGCTTTTCATCGACAGAATAAAATGAGGCGTATGAGATATTATTGTTAGTTCCACTCGACTGGCCTAATTTTTTCCAGTCTCCTTACTTTAGTTTCCTTTTCCTGGAGAGGTGAAAACTCGTTGCTGGCGCGCTCCCTGGTTGCCATGGCAACCAGCCCATCACACGCAGCTAACCTTTTCATTCACTGTGTTGCTGTCCTCTGTGGAGGCGTCTTCTGACCGCGGCTGTCCTAGAGCCACCATGGAGCAGTCATTACCTGTTGCCTGGGCATCATTCTTCGAATTCTTTTTCTGCCCCATTTGGAGTTGACTAGACTTGTAGGCCAAACTCGGTATAGTGTTCACTAAAATTAGCTGCAACGGTTTTTTGTTTTCCTTGTACTGACACTGAATGTAGCGTGAAAAGGCCGACCTGTAGGTCTTGTTGAACAGTGTGTAGACGAGCGGGTTGACGGCTGAGGACAGGTAGCCGATCCACACGAACACGTTGAGCAGGGCTCCGATGACGTCCTCGTTGCAGGACTCCTTGCAGATGACCGCCATGATGTTGGTGATGAAGAAGGGACACCACATCACCACGAACAGGAAGAAGACGATGCCCAGCACCTTGCACGCTTTCTGCTCGTTGCTGATGGACTGCATAGTCCTCCTGCCTGCGTAGGACCCGGGCTCCCTGTGGATCGACCTCTGGAAGAGCTTTTCCGAGGACAGGGAACTCTGCGGGAGGAAGCTGAAAGAAGCTAGTTTGGCTCGCGTGCCAAGATCACTCACACACAAAGTAGCTTCTTTCTGGAGGGACTTGATAGTTAGAAAGTAGGTGATCACCATGATGGTTAAGGGAATGAAGAAGGACACGAAAGAGCCGATGAGGACGAAGTTATCATCGGCAAGTAAGCAGCTCCCTTCTTTAAAGACCTTGGAGTCGTCCTGTAGCCCAAACACTGGTATCGGCATGGATATTCCTGCAGGTGGACACAGAACAACACGCGATGATTAACGAATTGAGGACATGAAGGCGGGAACACAACGGTGGCTGTTCAAAGAATTTTATGTCAGCACTGTTTAAAAGCTTGCATCCTTCTATTGAGAATTTATAATTCCTTTGGACTTACCTGTTTTATAAGTGTATATTAGATAGTTCCTGCTACATTACGTTGCCCCACATAATCTTCTACTTATAAAGGACTACAGTAAATCTAGCTTTAATTTCATGTCATACTTTTCTGATTCTAAAATTGTATTTATTAATTGAAGAAAACAGACACAGAGGCAAAGAAACAATAATAAAAATGACCAGTAATGCCACCATCCAGAGATAAGCACAATTATTAGCTCAATGCTGTTTCTTTTGGGAACATAAACACACACACAGGCACACACACACCATGTGCCATTATTTTAAAACAACGGGGGTTCTATTTCATATTCTTTCATCCAGCTTCACCAGTCACTACAAAAGTTTTGAGATGCACAAAAATCAAGAAATGCAAAATCTGCATGGATGAAAACAAACAAATCCCTCCCTGTAACACAGATAGGCCGAATAAGTTGAAACTTGCATGGGCAATTTGGAAAGGACGCTGTCAACTGTGTTTCTTGTGAAATAATGGACCATGACATAATCTGTCTCAAAACTTGGGTAGTGACCCACGTATCTCCTAGCATGGTTTACATGTGTGTATATAAAAATAACTATAAAACTATAAACATGGTATATTTGCTCTAGAAAATTGGGAAAATACAAATATGTAACAATTGAAAAAAGAAAAATCACATATATTCTCATGAGCCACTAGCAACCATACTTTATATTGGTATAGCTTCTTCTTCCATTTACATGTTCATATAAAAAAATTATATATATATATGTATATGTGTAGTATAGGTTCAGTTTTAGATCTTCCTATTCCATTTAATATTAAATTGTAAAAATTGCACATATCTTAAAGTATTTTTGGAAAATACAATTTTCTGATACTACTTTAAAGTAACCAATTTTGATTCCTTTAAAAAAAATTCTCATTATAGAAAAATTTTAACAATACAACCCAGCCCCACCCCAAAGAACAGAAAACCAAATCTAGCAAGGGACTCCATCACCTGGCTTCAACAATTATCAGCTCAATACCAATCTTGTTTCACCCACGTTCCACTGGCTGCCATTTTGAAGCAAATCCCACTTGTCATGTCATTCAATCTGTAAGTATTTTGTTATATAGATCTAAAAGCCACGTACTCTTAGAAAAATCTAACATTCTAATACCATTCTCTCTCCTAAATAGAAACCTAGTATTTCTTTAATATTAAATATAGAGTCAGTGTTCAAATGTCCAATTGTCTCATAAAGGTCATTGTATTTTTTTAGTAGAGCATTCATAAGATTACAAAAAAGAAGGTACCCTACAGACTTTTCTTTTACTGACACATAGAAGGGGTACATAATGAGATAACACCTGGACACACAAGGCAATAGTCCCCAGCAAGGGTCTATAAAGCTCCCTCAGTCATGGGGTTTAAGCAGAGGAGGGAACAGAAGTGGGTAAAGGTGACATTTGGCCTCTAATCATGCTACTTTCTCCTCATGATGATAGAACCTATTAAAGGGGGATTCAAGTGGCTGTGTTGTGCAGTTTCACCCCCAATCCCCATCCCATGAAACCTGGAGAAGCAGGGGTGTCATCCTCCACTGGCCTGGGACTGGTCATGCCAAGGCAGTCATGACATGGCTTGTTCTCTCTACCATAAAGGAAGAATTAGGGTGATGGGAAAGCAGAAAAAACATGAATTAAATACTCTGGAAAACTTAGTATAAGGTTGCTTCTGGCATTAAAGGGTAGATACCACAAAAAGACCCCAGGGGAAAGAGTCAGAGATAAAGTTTCCTTGTGACTCCTCATATTTTTGGCCCCCTCAGAGCGGCACACAAAGAGGATCCTGGTTACTGCTTCTGACTACTCTTGGAGCCTAATCACATATGTGGTCACAAGCCAGCCAAGAACATTGGTTTATTCTAGAATTGGAGGCTGCTACTTAACTCCTGCTACTCAGTTGGAAAAAGGGTTTTTTTTTTGAGGGTCTTCTGCATATTCAGAACAGAATTCAGCTCCATCCAACCACAGACACGACTACCCTAACCTCATGTCACCTTGCGCTGGCCATCATGGCAAGGAAGGAACATTAGCTCGAGTTGATGTAATTAACATAAATCTTCCTTAGTGACATTTGCTGTTATCTTCAGACTTACTCGACAATATGTGTCACTTGCAAGGCCATGCAGTATTCTTGGAAGGTGGAGATAAATTACATCAGGGCTGTTCTAATGACTTTTCATTTTCTTCATCCCTGTCTGTCCCTGACCTGCTGTTGGGAACATTCTGTGGGCCAAGAAGAAATGAACAGGGTGTGGCTCCAAGGGGACTATCCCTGATGCTCTGAGTACCCACCAGTTTTGCTTATCCTTCAGTAACTCTTGGTCATAAAGGTCAATACATAATTGCTAAGAAGAGTGTTTTCTTCCCCAATGTTTGAACACAGATCTGTGAAAGATATTTCCTACAGTAATCCACTAGGTCTTCTTAAACAGAATGCTTTGGACATCAATTTGTGATAGTCCCGGATTTGAATCCTGGCTATGGTTCTAGGCTCCTGATTGGTTAATTCATCCTTGTGGTTCTCAGTTCATTATCCATAATACATATATATGAGGCTGGCACCACCATGGCTGTGGGGATGTGGTGAGGATAAAATGGATCAAATATGCAGAGCCCCAAGGATGGTTCCTAGTCTGGAGTGATGTTCTATCAATGAATAGACAAACATGAGAGTGGCTTGCTCTGAAGAATTATTCAGATTAAATACATCAACATTATTTTGTTCTAATCTATTTGCTTAAATAGTATCTACTAGATTTTATATAATAGAACTTCTTAAACCCAGAGAGGCTAAAAAAGGTTTTAGTTATTGGTTATATAGTTAATAATGATGTAATTATTAGCTTCTGCTAGGGTGACATAAGGTCTCAATTGATTTTAATTATGTAGCTAGAAATGTTGATTACTTTTCTAATATGTTGAATTACAGTCATTACTGTCATAATGCCCATAAACAAAATATCAGCTGCTCACAAAAGGTGTATGATTTTGTTATTAAACTCTTGGATGTCCATTTTTCTGGTTAATACAAAAGAAGTTACTATCTCGAGAGCCTTTTGCCCTATTTGTTTTAACCAGAATATGGGACTACCTAAAATGACAAATACTTCAATCATTTGCAATAATGTCCTTCGTTTGGGAGAAACCACCCCCCCCCCTTCAGAATGACCCAATTTCTGCAACCAGAGAGGGAAGGGGTGATGGAGCCATCCTTGCTGAAACAGAGATTCACCCACTTAAGTGCCTGGGACAAAAAGCCTTTCTAAAAGAGGACATGGTAAGAGATTACAGGCAGGGTTGTCTTTTGCTTGGAAGGGGCACCTGGATGTGGGGGGGGGGAGCTAACTTGATTGGGTGTTTAAATGGCCCATTCCTTTTTATATCTAACAAAATCTACTAATGTTGATAGTAGTTAGGACGTTCTTTGTCAGGACCTCACTCATAGTAAGTGGTCAGTGAGGGTTTCTAGACAGACTAACCAGTAAGTTAAAGCAATATTTTGTTAAAAGGGGGGAGAAATTGCATGTCAAAGAACTAGAACACGGAGATAGGCTCTGTGGGTACAATATGCAGTTCAAAAGCGTGTGCTCCTACCCAGAGAGATGAAGACACTGGCGGATATCCAAGATTGTGATCACAGCCATCTCCAGGGCATTAATTCTCTGGCTGCTTTGTTTGATAATAGCTGCTTTTGGAGCCCTGACATCGCGTCTCACTTGAAATTTCTGCATATAAAGCATTTTCCTTTATGAACAAAACAGACAGTAGCTTCAACTACGTGACTCTGCATTCTGTGTAATATATTTTCTAAGGGGTGGAAAGTAGCAATCAAAATTCAATATCAGTATTGGATCCTCTATGCATATTTTTATTTCTTTCCATTAAAACTCAGACAATGAAATGAAAAGGAAACCTTGACACCTAAGCTCACAAAGGCAGTGGTTAGTGTCTTTTTTTTCTGCAGAGCAGCTTACTTTCTGCACATAAAGTTTGCATCTCTACTGAAAGAACCTTGCCGTGGGCTGGATAAATAACCTTAACTTTGAATCACTGGCCTTGACAGATGGGCTTTATGCTTAGTCCTAGATCTTTGGGGACGGTGTACTTTTCTTGGGAAATAAAGTTCCCTTTCTAGGTAATAATAATCTGGTAGAGAAGAGGAGAGTGGAAGTTCCTAAAGGCCTTAGGTGGAGGAGGACTGAAACAAATATTTCAGGGCTCTTGTGAAAAAGATAAAATTTGGGTTCACATGCTTAGAGGCATGATAACTGTTAGAACTTCCAGCTGTCTCATGAGACTGAGGAGGTGAACCCTGGAGTCTGTGGACCACTGAGACAGCTGAGAAGTGAGGTTACAAAATTCAGGATCCCAGGGCTTGAAATTTGCTGTATCTCCCACTATATCTCCTCTTTTTTTCCCCCTCTTCTCTCTCTCTCTCTCTCTCTCTATATATATATATATTGCCATGTGCTGTATTTTACCTCTTCCTTTCTTTGATGAGAATTTTGTTTTAATCCTAAACTTTTGGGAGCATAGACATTTAATCTATGAAATGTCAAATCACTTGGGAAATAGCTGGCAGATTTACGATGCCCTCGCTCCCCATGCAGGAAACAACGGCAGGTGTCGGAGATCAGGAACGAGTTTCGGCCGTGGGTATTGGTTTTAGATCATTTAGGTGTGGTGCATCTCTTATTTTGGAATTTTTTAATAGTTGAAATGAAAGGCACACTGTTTCTTTAGGTCTTACATCCTTTCAAAGTATAATAAAATAATCACTTTACTGTTCCTGCTAACAATGGACAAAAAAT